TACATGTGAAAATTATCGTGTATGACGCCAGACTAAATATAGGCCGATGCTTATATAGTTTAGGTGAAATTATACATTAAAAGTAAGGAGTAGTATACTCTAGAGTAGTTTGATATAAAAGATCTTGATACTGATGTCTATTTTGAAAAAAATCATTCATTTTTAATGGTTAAGGATTATAAAAGGTTATAACATGTTTAATAATTATAAGGTATCAAGCCGTCAGGCTTTTCTTACAATGTAGGATAGCCTAGGTAACATTGTTAAAACTGTCTGTGGGGTTTCTAGTATCTGCTAAAATAAACATTTTGTTATAATTACAGAGCACATGTAGAGAGCACATACTGCGAATAGAGCGAGGTGTGAATATCGATTGAATTGTGTGCTTTTAAAAATGTTTAACGCGTTTTATCACTATCTCTCTTTCAAGTGTGTGTGCGTGCGTGCGTGCGTGCGTGTATTGTGGGGGGGGGGGGTACAAGGGGCTGCTGTCCACTCGCTTTGAAGTAACATCATATAATGGTAATAGATGCAAATCGGTGTAAAATAACTATTAATCGTCATGTAGTCAGTCATCCGCGATATCCTTGTCTCACATCCTCCTTACCATGCGGGTTGAATGCGCCCCCACTCCAACCGCCGTGTCAATCTAATCCCAAACTACCCGTTCATATAGGCCGAAGAATTTTCTATACACAGTACAATAATAGCATATTCTAGCATTTTTACATGCATGGGCATTACACGTCAAAAGAAATATTGTGTTGAAATTAAACATTTAACTGGTGAGCACCGACTCACTTGTAGTGTGCTACGAAATTATCTCTTATTTTCGAAGCAATGAGCTCAATCATGAGGTATTGCGTACCATGGTACTATAGTGTGATAAGGCTAGCGCAACTATTTCATATCCCAACGCAAGAACTGCAGAGACGAAGAAAGAGTTCACTTCATATGTATATATAACACTTTATTATAGAATGTAGATACTGCAATTTAACAAACTGTTGAGGCACACCAGTTAGTTTTATGAGAATAGTGTGTATAGACAACATACCTATCGGTACTTTAGCACAACAATAAAATTTACACAAGTGAATTATTCTTCTGCAATCAAAATGTTTACTGTATATGCATATTCATTCCTAGTTTTGGGGAAGTGGGCCCTATTTTATTTACGCTTGCTTTAGCGCAATCTATCTGCACAAGCATGCCGAAATACGTAACGTAAATCTCTAATAAATTTTGCATGATTGAAAATCGAAAGTGAAAATAACTCAGAAAGTGAAATAACGATAGGAAATGGGCGGCGCACAGTGCGAATACGCATATGCATAGTATTTAAACATTCATTCGTTTCATGACACATTAGTTTGCCGATGTAGCGGTCGTAACGTCGGCTCGGTTATAGCGGGATGGCAGCGCGCCACGGCCGCCATGTTGGCAGTCCACTCTCGCGTCTAGAACTGTTCTTGTTGAGGTTGTCTGTCCTGTTTCCCGTAACCTGCCGCACGATAACGGCCGCCGTAAATGTAGACGGGAATCTACGTCTACGGTGGACGTAGCGAGAGTACAGCGAGCAAGCATCGTGCACACACGCACACGCACGCGCACGCGCGTCGCCACAACACATCCTACCACGCCGCGTACCGCAAACTCTACACAATCGTTCGACTTCTACAGCATTTATACAATTTTAAGACGCGATAATATGAAACGGTTCCGACACTGACATCGCCACTACGAGACGACGTTGGGCGAGCCAGTAGTATGACGCTCGCCCGCCAGCTGTGTAACGACGCATCCCCTACATACGTCACAACTGCGTACATGCGACATTACACACGACTGCCAAGGTTCAATACTTCTCAATGTTGCTATCATCCACGAATCACTAGCTGTAAATCGACACGCACTGCGACGTTCGGTGTCTCAGTAGCAACATCGCGCGCTACAATATACGCCTTTGGATAAATGTCTGCGTCATTTAGCGCAGGCAATACTGTTCACCCTGTTTCGGGATAGTAGTTTGTTGTACAGGGTATGATAGGCAAGCAACATATACTTGCACATTTACTGTGTATCGTAATAACACGGACTCCACTGGAACTAATGTGCCAAGGTACAGATGGCCCTGCATGTCACACAAGCTCTGCAATAATATACGTAAGAGACTTTAAAATAAAATGGGTCACTTTGCAACATGATGGCAAAATAATCATAAACTTCGAACAAAATTCAATGTACTAACGAAATCACCTATAGACAATTAATTTGCTAAATAAAGTGCTTGTGTTGAGAGCAGGGAACAATGCCCGGCGAAACATTGACTACCGCCACACCACACGCACTGCCGCGCACACCGACGCCGATTTTCGACTGCAACCAGATTCATTTGATCGGAATTACCCTTTGAAATCCCCCGCTTGAAAGCAGAACTGGCGTCGAGTGCCGCCCCATACAAATGCGCGCTCTCTCCACGACGTCGCGTGTGTCGTAGAACTAGAAAGAAACGTGTCGCTCCAGTTCCACGATGCATCCGCGGAGTACGCAGACGCGCGCGGCAGACGTGGCGCCACCTTGTAGCCGGTTCTCAACACGCACGTCAGACACGATACGTACGTCACTAACCAACACACTGGCATAACCTTCAAAAGACACGTTGAACGCAGAGCGCGCACGGTTACTACGCACCAGTGGCATGGTAAGGTTACAACTCACCAAAAACCGATTAGTAGTTCATTATTAGAAATGCAAGACGTCCGAGCGAGTGTTGCTCTCTGTTAATAAACTTTTCCGCATACATTTACACCTCGACACACACACACACACACACGACCGATACGAATTCGGGGAATACCACTCAACTTCACGATAATGCACAACTTACATGCATTCAATGTTCACTAAATAACACCTATGACGGACACTAGCGTAGTAACCAGGCCTATATAACTTCATTCGTGTATGGTGTCATCTTCGGCAACACGAATTCAAACGCACTCAACTCTCAGACGAGGCTTGTCGTTTCCAGTTACCTCACATGTAAATTAATGATCTACAGTTAGGTACTTTATATAAGAAAACGCGATTGATTAGTGTGGATTGCACATACTAGTATGTCACTCCCTCACGACCGACATAGGGCTAACACGACCGACCTACCTAGAACGTATAACACTTGTCCTGAAGGTAACATAGTAACTGCTACTACATATGATCCAGATAATAAACATGGGAGAAAGCAAGATGGGGGAGGAATTGAAAATCGAAATCGTTGAAAACTCAATGGAATCACATTATTCATAAACGCAGGGGAGCGGGAGCAACCCAGTTCCGCGCGCAAACCCACACTTTCCTCTTGTCCTGTCGCACCCAGGGCTTCCCCTCACACCGTGTTACTCTCTCAACATCGTCGCAAACGCTGGGACAACGCTGCGGCCAATTGCACATTGCATTATTCTTTGCGCGTATACGCTCGAAGATATAGCGGCATATCATAGGGATTACAAAATGTTTATCACACACGACGTGAATACAACTCAATAGACTTATTGTATAGTAATAACGTATTGAAATCGGGTAGCATTCGCGAATAGGAAACTATCTCCGCGTGGTGGCATACAGGAATGTCGCGAATTAGACCGCGATTACGATATATAAATTCTTCTTTATCGTCTTTAGTGGAAGACTTGGGCGCTAAAAGTAATTATGCAAATTGGTCGGCAATGATTGGCTGTGTGTTAATTTAGGAACAGGGGAAAGGGTATGCAAGATTTTAATAAAAATAATAAAATCCGTTTTTAATGCTATGCACTTTTTGCAAGAATAACTTCAAGAACTCATACTTGCTCAGATTTCCGCTGCTTTTTTTCTGCTAGACCCAGTAGACCTTTGAAAGTTAGCAAAATCGAACGGACTCGTTGGCAGTTCACAAGTTACAGAAGTTACTGTAAGGCAAAACAGTAAGTAATCGAAGGTCAATATCTAAATAATAAATGTATGTACGTACGCACGATGGCAGAATTGAGGTTAACTAGGGAATATTTACGCATTACATCTGCGTCATGAATTTCACAGCAGGTCTGGCACTCAGGGCAGAGCTAAGCGACTGCTGGCGAACGCCAAACTGCATGCAGCGCACCCTTCGTACAACGTACTCCGGATACGTGAATTACGCTAGGGTTCCTATATACAAAGAGTTGCGACAACCCAGGATTTGACAACATATTGTTTCCAAATGAATCCACACCGCTGCTGCTCAAGTACAGCGCTGTATGGATACGCTGTACAATGGTCCGTAGTAATTAATGAGACTAATCGTCCTTCAATAAACTCAAAATTCACAGAGATTATAGCAAAGACATGTGTCTATGTGTATCTAGATTTCTAGAAATGTTACTCAAATCGTTCGCGCCATATGCTAGTTTAATTCTACACTTTTTTACCGCCCATAGCCGTGCGTATATTAGCCTGTGCGATACAAACTATCATATGGCGCGAACGATTTGAGTAACATTTCTAGAAATCTAGATACACATAGACACATGTCTTAGCTATAACCTCTGTGAATTTTGAGTTTATTGAAGCACGATTAGTCTAATTAATTACTACGGACCATCGTACAGCGTATCCATACAGCGCTGTACTTGAGCGGCAGCGGTGTGGATCCATTTGGAAACAACATGGCGTCCAGCGATCACGTAACCGATTTTTTCCGACTCGTCATGTCGCAACTCTTTGTATATAGGGACCCTAAATTGCGCATAGCGAGAGCGCCATCTGTCGTCGAAATTGAGCGAACGGAAGCCATGCCAGATCACGTATATGATATACGTGCTCTGGCCATGCTCTCTGTTTGCAACGAACGCCACGCGATGACACATGAACATCCGGAATACACACGTCCGTAGCAATATCGTATCCTCAATAAACACAACGAGCAGTACGACAACGACAGTAGCAGTTCGCTCGTGCTACGAGACCATTCGTACTATGTAATTAATGTGCAAGACACGATTAGCAAACTGTGCGAAGGTGACGGCGGAGCAGGATGCAAGGGGGGGGGGAGATCCCATGTCATGGCGCATCACGCTTACCCCCTGATCGCCAGTGTGAAACACGTTCGCACCTTCAACACTATTTGTTAATCACACCTTACTCTCCACACGCGCTTTGTTATTTGCATTTTGCACCAACCTAGTATTGTTTTACCGTACGGAAGAACATTACGCGACAAAAGTTATTCACGGTGGAGCGTTGTCTTAAAATCAAAGCTGTATAGAAAGGTACACCACGTACAGTCTGCCCTATGTAACACAACTGTGCATTTTATATTACAAGTGCTCAATAAACGTTCTCCGAATTGCGGAAAATCGCCTGCGCAAGCAAACGACAACCGCAGTTGTAAAGCATCCAGTATTAGGCATCTGGTCGACGTTAAACATACCTTTACGTAGTGCCGAATACGTACCCATAACGCTGCCTACGAAACAAGGATGTAGCGTACATATATTACTTAATTAGAGTTATGCCAAATAATTACAGTACCGAAATACTATATTTACTTCTACATTTTACGGAGTTCGTCTCATACCCTCGCTCAGAATAGATACCCATCTAGTTTCTGAGGAATTGTAGTTGTCGTGTTTCCTTTACCAAACCTTTTGAAATCTTGTATGAACATACGAGCTTCTTTTTTATAATCATAACACGTGTTATACCTCCCTCTCCAAGACAAAACAACCGAGATGCCGGCCACTTCGGCAATATCTCGGCTGATTCGCTCGAAACGGATAATGTTGACATTTAGCTATTCCCTAACACTGCGATTCAACCGTCGGCTTTCATCGCTCGAGGTATTTTTTCCCGTCACACGTCTAGTAGCTCGCGGTGCCATTAAGCCATGGCACACGTGAAAGGGTATATACAATTATGATTCCATAATGACAACAAAGAGCGCCCCCACCGCCCGAACTTCCTTGACGTCATAAACGCTAGGCTGCAATCTAACATTCTGATTTTGATATGTCAGAACCTCTGTAGCGATATAGTTACGATTGCTTGACACGACTGCGATCAAGCCGATACATTCCCCGTCAGGAATTCCTCAACGGACAATTTGGCTTTTCTCCGTATGAGCAACGACAGGAGAATGCGGCACATAGCTCTGGGTTGCCAGTCAACGAGGCAGTATAAATCTTTGGTATTTACTACATAAACACTGGAAACTGGTAGGATAATAGCAATGATTTTTTTCCAAGTCCTAAGAAAATATGTGATCACATAGAGACAGTGGATACAGTTTAAGCTACGCAGGCACCTCACGCGCTGGCACGGACCAACGTTGGTACACAGCAAGGCCTGAAGCGCAAGTGCGTTCATACATGTACATTGAGCACACCCATCCTGTCCACCACCCCATCCACAGCACTGTCGAATAGCTGCAGACGGCGAACACTGTCGTCAAACGAGTACGGCGTAGCGGCCATCTTGGTTTTCAGATTTCCTTGTAAGAAGGGATGAGATACAAACCAGCGTCGGCACGGCATATTGGACAAGTTCGATTTGTCTGGAAAGTAAAAAAAGCGCACAGTGGAATTACTAGAGAGCTTATTGTCACAAACTTACAACACCGCACAACAGAACGGATCAGTGGACCTACATGTAATTACAGTCAACCCTGTGTATAAGGGTCACTCAAGAGAAAAGTGACCTTTCTATGCAGGTGTCTGTCCCTTAGATGTGGTTTCACCGTATAACTTGTTAACTAAATGGAAACACGAAAAGTAGCCTTCACAGATACGGCGTCTGTTCTATAGACGTATCTGCTGACATAGGTTTGAATGTATAGCTGTTTCCAAGCAACTGGAAACCAGATAGTGCTGTTCATGTAGAAGTAGCCAGGGCTCATTTAGCTCACTCACAAACTTTAACGCATGCAATGTCGGATAGGTTTAACCGTCATTCAATATTATCAGTGTACATCTGAAGTCTAAGAAGACCACAGTAGGTGCAATCAATAAAAAACACCATTGAAATTACAAAAGGAAAGTGCACACTAACGTTAGTATGACTCAATCACTCTTAAGAGGGACCCCTTGGTAGCTAGTGATTGAAGACAATTGAATGTGACGCTGTTGATGTCACGTACAAATCGTAAAATTTCCTTTGCGATACAAACGGAACTTATGGGATGAGCAATATATCAATACATTCAAACCTGTATATTACAGTTCCGAAAAGCTGTCCTTTATATGCAGGTGTCTGCTCTATAGAGGTGCTTTCACTTTAACGGTAATGCCAAAAGTATCCCTCATAGACCGCCGTCCATTCAATAAAGGTGTGTGCTAACACATGATTTGCCGCAACCCCCTACTATTCCCACGCAACTAGAAATCATTATAATGCTGTTATTATGGCCTGCATGCATGCAACAACACTGACAGATACGTTTTGCCATTTCATTTCAAAAACAACGACGTGTGGGTACCTTGAGCCACTTGTCAACACATTTTGCGTGGAACTCATGATGGCAGGGGAGGACACGCAGCAGTTGCCGCTGCTCAAAGTCACACATGCAGACGACGCATGATGTCTGGTCCGACTGGTGCGACGACGCGTTAAAGCGGTACGATGGCAACTGCTCAATGTCTACAACAACAACATCAACACCATCAGCATCAACAACAACATCATCAACAACGTCATCATCATCAGCATCAACAACAATGTCATCATCATCAACAACAATACCAATAACAAAAACTATAATAATAATATAAATAATAGCAATAGAAACAACAATAAAAAAACATCAATGTAATCAAGCATCATGTATTGAAGTTTTACCCACAAACACAAGTGCTGAACAGGAGCAGTACAAAAGATTGACCCTAAAAAGCACAACGAAGACCAAAGAACTACCGTAAAGGATGGATAAAAGAATGACTGGATATAGTTTCGTGTAACATTCTTCTATGCAATATCGTTGTTTTAAAATATAAATCACATAACTTTCTTCTTGGGAACTTTTCAAGTTATTACTGTATTAATATTTGTTTGTAAATATCATCAACTTCAATTTTACATTGCCTGGCGATATCGTGTAAGCTATACTTTACAAAATTGTTTCAATGAACTTCTTATCTGTCTGTCAGTCTGTCAGTCTGTCAGTCTGTCCGTCTGTGTCCATCTAGATGTCTGTCCATCTAACTAATAAGGTTTGCACAGCTCTCAGCTATGTGTGCTGTAATATAATGTATGTCCAATGGTCCTATCTCTCTTCACATCTGAACAGCTTGTGCGTAAAAATATCAGCACTACTCACCAACTTTTGTGAGCCCTCTCGGCTTAGCCTCTCCTAATCTTTCCGCCAGGTTCAGAAGCGCCTGTGTAAAGTAAAATTACAGCTGGTAAATTTCGCAGCAGAAGACAAGCTGGTAAGCTTGCGCTTTCTAGACCACTCAGATCTCCTGCAATAGCTGAGCTCGTTTGGAGACGCAGCATCATTCCTTTAGGTTTTACAAATGTACAGCAACTTACAGCGTAAGCTTCAAATGCCAGATTATTACGATTGCAAAAAGCTAGTGTGTTTTAGCAAATTTTATGAAGATTTCAGCCTATTAGATACACATACACACTAATGTGACAAAATCACTACCTATACATCTCACATCCGACTTAGATCTCTATATAAACATTGAATATGCAGCCACTTTCAGATAATAAAGCCATTCAGTTCCTCATCTCAAATGTTATCAACTGAAATTGGATGCAAGGAAGCAAAACAGGAAGGTAATATAATAAGTCCCAGGGTTTCACCTCATAGTTTTCCACCTCTCCATTTTCATCACTGACGTCCATGGCATACGGTGGTGCTACTGTTGAAGGATTGGATAACATCGCTCTGCAAACATATGAAAGTAAATGTAATCACCCAAAAAATATTGTCAAAAAAATTCTCAAAGCAATTAAGTTTAAACCTGGGTGGCACAACGACATTATTACCAAAACTGCAGCAAAGGTATGTCAGGGAGGTGGAAAAATAACAAAAACGAAATTATCTTTCCAGTGTTAAACAAGAAAGCAGGCCAAATCCAACAAATAGGCAAGCATATTAGTAAACGTTAGGTTGTAGGTGGGGGGGGGGTGTAGTATTGATGCATGAGCAAGCAAGATAAACCAACCACAGCTATACAAAAATAAATCTATAACATGCAATTATTGTCTGCATTACAACCAGATAAATCCAGAACACCAAATTTTACACTACTAATGAGCTTCATTATATAAATGCCAAGGTTGGGTTCATGTTGTTGAAACAGCAATATTATTAGATGTTCCCCCATCCTTCCCGAACAATTGTGCAGATTAATGCAGGCTTTTAAAGTTGCTAATAAAAAGCTGCTATATTGCAAAATCCACTCTTAATATGCATGTGTGAGTGAGTGTGCGAGTGTGACAGAAGGCTTGGTAAAGGAATGAGCTTGTTTGTACTACATCAAGACAGGTTTCAGTTTCTAATTGCTGACCTACGCTGATTATCTCAGCAATAAAACGTTTTTCACAATGCACAAATGTAAAATCTTCCTTCAAGGTGACGACCGGAAACGCACCTTGGAATTTTGTTTGAATTAGGTAAAAAAAAAAGCTGGAGATCAAACTTACAGGAAGTGAAGCAAAAAGCCCGGATGTGTTGCCGGTACAGGGGGCGCCGGTGGCATGCCTCTCCAGCGGCGTGCCGACACTCTCCGTTGCTGGCTGGCTCTCCGAAGTCGGGAGTATGTTCCCTGCAAACACCACACAAAGATCCTCTGTAAATTTGGCTGTGCTGACTAGGTTATCCTCTGTTCCCATGTTATCCTGCATTTCCAGGTATCTTCTGTTATTCAGAGACTAGATAATCACCTGGTGCAGACTGTTCACTGCAAGCCCCCCCCCCCCAAATGTAAACCAGCAAAAAAATACATTAAAAACAGGTTAAACTTAATTTACCCAAAAATTAAAGATTTCCCATAATAAACAGAACAGTTGAAATTCAACTTTTTTCTCAAATGAGATTTCCCCGGCCTCCTAATTCTAGAAATAATTCCGTTTAAAAAAAAACCAGACAGAAGACACACCAGTTGATAGAGTGCATCAGATTGGGTGTGGTGATGTCTGACTGGTGGCTCCGCCTGTAGCAGATGGATGGGTGCGGAGTGGTTGAGAGGTGCACCGTGACCCATCGGATATGGAATGTGGTGATATGTGGGGTGGGTCGGCCGGTGCTCGGCTATGATCTGTATCTCGTCGTCTGGGGTGTGATGAGGCTGGAAAAAAATTTAAATCGAGACTAAGATCGCAACGTCTATTATTTCTCCGTTACTGTCTCGTGTAATTCGCTCCCTTCCGATTAAATCTGAGCATTGATTTTTATTTATATGCAATCTAAAGTACTCAAACAAAATGCCTGAAGTTTCATTTTCACAGACAGGTGTCTGTACTAAAGATGTCTGTATACGTGTCTGTACTAAAGATGTCTGTATACGTGTCTGTATAGTGTGCAAACCTGCACACTAGTCAAACACCGGTTCAACTATACCCCGAAAAAACCCCAATTGAAACATGCGCTGCGCAATAGCAGGCTGAATAGCAACACGAACATAACGATTTAAAAAAAAATTCGAAATACACATTTTTATTTCAATGAATTTCGACGGACCTGGTGATGGTGCTGTTGAGGATGCTGAGGCATGAAATGCTGCGGACCGTGGATCGGCATCGTGTATGTCGAGTGTTGGTGAACGTGCGGATGGTGCAGGCTGGGGTGGTGGTGGGTCGGCGTTGCCATCACGGGACCCATGCCGTGCACCACGGCAGAGTAGCCCTGCGTCGGCTGGATGTTACACGACGGCTGCAACGCAAAACAGACGGCGCTCATCAATTAATTAATCAATCAATTATTTAATTTATTATTTCTAAAATTTTCTTTAGAGTACAATTTATTTATTTAGTAATCTACTATCCACGGATTCAGTTATTTATTTATTTGTCCGGTTTTTCAAGCAGAGCTGTCTCATCAATAAGCGAGTCCTGTCCCAACAATCATGTTCCGTCGCTCACTCCCAGATAGATTGCGCTCCGGGCATTTATTGCCCGAAAACACAGAGTATCTATAACTATCTAGACTAAGCTTGGCTACAGACAATCAAGAGAAGGGTGGTAGCCAGGTTAGCAAATATATAGTGTAGCTACATAGATAATTATGGTATGAACTGGGTAGTATAGATTGATCGGTGTTGGTAAATATCAACCGCATCCTAATCAAAAGAGACGAACATTCCGCGCATATATATTGCACAACTTCAGAAGGATATTATCAGGTAGATTACACTTCAGACATAGTGGATAGGTTCCCACCTTCACAACAAGCTATGAAAAAAACACTAATGCAAACCTTCCAATATCTCTCGAGTCCAACCATAGAAACATGTAAACATATGGAATACTTGGAAACAATAGGGTCCACACGCAGAAAGGTAATTAATTTCTGGCCTCCAGCAAGAAACGATACTATTGAAATATAAAGAACACATGGCTTATGTCACTTACTTTACCTCATCACTCCCATCGTTACTGTTACTACATTAATAGATATAGGATGCACTGCTTTTTCGGTAATACCTGACACGATAGCACATTATTAAATGTTTCTTCAGCTGCAAGGTGATGCGAAAGACATTTAGCGAGTGAGCGTAAAAGCTAGCCCGCATTACTGGCTGCATAATGGGTAAAACCTCTATTCAGTGACGTGATTCTCATAACTATCTAAGTTATTGATGTTTATAACTCCACGCGTATATGTCGCATGAATCCACTGCGAGGCTTCACTCCCCAATATTCCAAAATGTGAATTTCCTCTCTATTGTAAATCCCGTATCTCACCTCCCTCTAAATTCCAGAGTCAGGATTCCACCTCTGTCGTATTTCTAGAACCTGAGTCTCGTACATCTTCTCAACTCTAGCCTTAATCATAACATGTTTTCAATTCTAGTGCCTGAATTATACTTCCCTCTCAATTCTCGAAAATGAATTTTTCCTCCCTCTAAATTCTAGCGCTTGAATCATACATCCCCCTTCAACTCTAGAGCCTTGATCGTACCGCGCTTTCAATTCTAGTGCCGAACTATACTTCCCTCTCAATTCGAGTCTGAATCGTGCCTTGTTTCGGGATCAATCACTCACCTGTGGTAGAATACTGCACACGGGGTACTGTAGGCTGCAGCTGGGGTGTGTCTGGCCGCCACAGGCTGGGAAGTGTATATGTGGAGTGCTGGCATACAGCGGATGAAAACCGTGCGGCGCTGCCATGCCTGGCGGCAAGTGTGACGCCAACGACATCGGTACCGACGCTGCCCCCTAAGAAACAAGACAGCGTCTCAGCATGTGCGATCTGCGAAGCACCGGCACGGTCGTCGACGACCGAAAAAAACCTGCCGTCGGCTCGACGATGGTACGCGGCGCGACCTGGTATTGACTTTATTAATTGTTTGCGGACTGCCTACCTGCTCGCCGTGAAAGACGGGCGACTGTTCCTGCGCGTTCTGAGGTAGATGGGATGTTTGCAGCGGCGGCGGCAGCTGCGTGGCGGCACCTACTGGCTGGAATGCTCGTCGCTCGGGCGACTGACTGTAGCGCGGTGAGTAGCGATCACGCTGACTCTTCCGTCTGACGCCGGGACTGAAACGAGCGACGACGACGATACGTTCGTAACTATCTCTCCACAACGCGCGCACGAGGTCTATCAACTGCAACTGCCAGCTAAGAGGCTTTCAGCAGCAGAAGAGGGGCGGAGAGCCGGCGGAGGCCTGGTTCATGAGACGGACAGCGATGGAGTATACATCCTATGCAATATTTACTCATTTCCGTTACATATTGCAAAACATTGTCAATTGTTCATTAAAGATTCAACTGGCCGCCAACAATGTACAGTGTGTCCGTATCACTGATAAATATTCATCCGCATTGCTACATCATTATGTCATATCTACATGCAAACAAAAATCATTGCCCGTTTCGTATAAGAAAAATAACTGAAAGGAATGAAATGAAAATGTTAGACATTACGAAACTTTTTTTTATAAATAACTCGTGAATAGAAATCAATGCACCGTACTGTAAGCTATGTAGATCTGGGGCACAGGAGACCTGGCGTAATGGCAAGGTCTACAAACGTCATTTAACAAATCTTCTTATCCTGAATGCCAAATCTATAACCTCATATTATATAACTTGCTGAGTAAAAATCCCTAAAATGTTTTCAAATGCATTCAAAATATGCATATTGACTAAACGTCCAGCTTGTTTACCTGCATAGTGAATTGCATAAAAACAATAATTTGTATATTGTAAACTACAGTAACCATACACGTGAATTATTTACTATTGAACAAGAAACAGTAGCACTTAGTATATTTAATGCAATCAATGTATAGCAACTTGTTTAATTTATGCCTAGTTAGGCGAGAAAAATTTTCCTGGTTAAAATATGATTAAGAGACATGGTGTGCACCTGCCCATAAATACAGATAGAATAGTTGAAATTCAATCAGAACACTATCAACTGTATCGTGCAAAATTTACCTCCACTGTTCACCCGTTACCTTACCCTGCCCCTTACCTTGCCCCTGCAATCATTCATTTACCTGCCAATTTCAAAGCGTGCAGTTTAGCCTGTCAAATGCGGTTAATTCTAAAGTACTGCTTTTAACTGGCTGAGTTTGGTTGACACCCAAATTGGGACTGTTGCCCTAACATTACAATCGGCCACTCTAAAACGAGATGAACAGATATAAGAGCGCAGAAGCTCCGCTGGGCTATAGGCCAAGTGTCAGCTTAAAGCACACAGCAAAGATACTGAACGAATACATAAACGTTTTTGAGTAAACACGAGAATTGAATTTGCACTGCTAGCAAAGCATGTGGACCTATCGGCAAACACCAGGACGAAACACGACGTCTGAATATTAGCAGACGCCAATACCAACAGTGATCGGAGATGTTACGAATATCATATGTTGAATAATAGCAATTAAGCTATTTAGGGTTAGCTTAAATTTAGCTTTGTTTTGAGTAACGCAGCAATGTCTAGCATTAGATCTCTAGCATGAAATTGAACGAGTACTTTCGTACTTTCATAATTTCTCACGTTGATAGTGTATGGTTAATCTTGCTGCGACTACTATATGGCCAGATCTTTGAAAACTTGATACGCCTGATGGAATCTGAGAGAACAAACGGTCACGAATAAAAAATCATCTTCCTCTTAGTTTTTTTCAACGACCTAACCACAGACGCACCTGTCAGCATTTTGTTCCTAATTACATAATGCACTACCTACATATAGCATGTAATAGCACTACCTACGATCTTTATCTGACGTGCAGCTCTATATGCAACACAACTACAAAACAGCGTGGCCAAATTCACCTGCTCGCGTTCGATTCCCCGCTTACCCGCCAACCACACAGCTCCTCCTCCCTGTCACCCATGCAGGAGGAAACCCAGTGTAGCATGGGAATCATTCCCCTTATGGCAAACATCTCCCCACTCATACGTTGCGCATGGGCATGGCGTGTTTGGCAGGGCGCATGGCACATTGCGCACGGGGGTGGGGGGGGGGTGCCTTTTAGTAGCCATGCGCGATGTGTGCATGGGGGTACGTCTGCTATGGGGGGATGACTATCATGCTATGCCGGCCATGTTACCTGCACACAGCAGGTGGTAATCACGTGCATTCACACAATTAAAAACAGTTCCTTCTCCTTAAGATTTTCACAGAAATTTGCCTTTCTCTCAGACGTAAAAGTGAAACTATAGCCGGAAACAGTTGAAATACAAAAAAAATACACATTTTCCTCAAAGGAGAAATTGCAACTGAAACGTATCTCTTTATTGAAAGATGCAAGGATGCATATTAATGAAATTTTCCGTATCATCATTTCCATTTTGACTAGCTGATATTGAATTATATAATAAAACACCGACTCAGGGACGGAGTTTAGACAATCAACTATTTAAATACAACGGTTTGTATGATTATACTTTTTACGGGCCATGTTTACATGATGGAAAACACCTATTTTCTTCGAGTATGACACAGTAAGACATTGGGAATCAACTTGTGGCATGCAGCCTCAACACTTGTTTTTAAATCACTCTACCTTGCTCCCTATCGTTATTGACACGCATGTGCACCACCTGCTGAATAAACATATCATGACCATACCTGTGCAAGAACATAGACATCACCAGAGGTGAACGATCTATCAACTAACATCTTGTAGATCATTCACCCCTGATATGACGTATATATCCTATACACCCTGTGAAGTGAAACCTGAGTTAGCGCACACCGGTATTGAGTGGACGGCTCCTTACAAAGGACATTCAGGGGGCATCCTTTTGGTTGACCTTTATACATAGAGGTCTGACTCAGCGACTGTAACAGCCACTCAAGGGGAAAAGTTGTCCGTTCTATAGAGGTGGTTCTGCTGTATTACTACCTGTATAGAACGGACAACTGTGTACTGTAGCCAGTTAAGGGAAACACTATAAGTGTCCTTTATAAACAGTTGTACGTTCTATGGACGTGTCTACATAGATGTGACTGTACACTACGGTAAATCCTGTATATAATGCTTACTCCAACAAATCTGACACAGTGCTCTTTAAGGATGGGTGTAAAATCTATGGTGGTGTACTTTAACGCACGGGTTCGGCTACACACAGCTAGTTAAACCTCCGCAGAACGGCCAACTGTTCACAAAAGCCGCTTTTAGCATTTCCCACAGGAGTGACTGTCACGCAGCGACACCACCTCCACAGACCAGCCACCTGTCTACAAAGGCCGCTCATCGGGCCCCGGGGTTGACCGAACACCGTCCATCAGTGGTTCTTAACCTTTTTTGAGTCATGTACCCCTTTGAGAATCTGGTGAAAGCTACGGACCCCTCCCCAGAAAAATGCACATAAGCACAAAACCACAAAATTTTGCATACAATTAGGTTGATGCACCCCCTGAAGCCCATCCACGGACCCTTTTGGGGTTCATGGACCACAGCTTAAGAACACCTGTCTTACATACTAGCGAACCGCACACACACACGCGTCGTGACGTATTCCTCTCTCTCTCTCGCGCGCGCGCTCTCTCTCTCTCTCTCTCTCTCTCTCTGCTCTCTCTCTCTCTCTCTTCTCTCTCGTCTCTCGCCCCCCTTCACTCTCTCTTTTCTTCTCCTTCCCCGTACCTCTGCCTTCTCTCTCTATCTACCACCCTCCTTGCGGCTGCACCGCTGGAGTGTATGCCCAGCGCCTCAGCCGGGCGTCAGCCTGTCGCGTACGGCGCGTCCTCAGCGGCGCTCCGCTCGCCGGCTGCCTGCGTCCCCACGCCCTCTCAGCGACCTGAGGCGGGACTGGGCGAGGTCCCGCGTGATGATCGAATCACGCTCTGGGAATACGCGCCTTCCGCTTCCCGGCTCCGGCCTCGCTCTGCCAATAAACAAACGTCCGCATTTTATGCTGACTTCTCTTCTCCTCGCTCACTCTCGTCCCTCTCCGCTCTCCCTCCCTTCCCTCTCCTCTCTCCCTGCTCCCCTCTCCCTCTCCCTCTCCCTCTCCCTCTCCCTCTGCTCTCCCTCTCTCTCTCTCTCTCTCTCTCTCTTGCGCCCCCCTATCTCTCTCTCTCTCTTCCTCTCTTGCCTTCCCCCCCTCCTCTCTCCCTCTCTCTTGCTCCCCCTATCTCTCTCTCTCTCTCTCTTGCTCCCCCCCCTCTCTCTCCTCTCTCTCCCTCTCTCTCTCCGTTGCGCGCGCTCTCTCTCCCTCTCTCCCTCCCTCCATCCCACCCTATTCATTCCCTCTCTCCTCTCTCCCTTCTTCTTCTCCCCTCTATCCTATTTTTTTTACCTTCTCTTTGTCTCTCTCACGCTCTCACTTTTCTCTCTCTCTCCCTGCCCCCTCTCCCGCACCCAACCTCTTTCTCTCTCCTCCACATATTCCTGCGCGAGTGACTCATGATGTCAATCGGAATCGGATCAGCCGACCGATGAGAGGGGAGGAGTGGGGAGGAGAGGGGAGGAGAGGGGAGGAGAGGAGAGGGGAGGAGGAGAGGGGAGGAGGAGAGGGGAGGAAAGGGGAGGAGGGAGGAGGGGAGGGGAGGAGAGGGGAGGAGTGGAGAGGAGGGAGGAGAGGAGTGGGGAGGAGAGGGGAGGAGAGGGGAAGAAGGAGGAATTACAGCTAGCACACGATCAGAATGAATGCGCGGGCGAGAGAGTGAGTGCGGAGAGCGGTGCAGAAGCAGTTTCTTGCAGAACATTCGCTATCATGTTTGTTTATGCGTGAATGTATACACCAAGTGGCAGCATAAACATACACACGGCCGCGTGCGTGCATACACGTGTATATGTTACCGGCATTGTGTGAACCTAAGGTATTCTATAGAATAGAATTGAATAGAATGCATAAAACTTCAAGACGATGTATAACATAAAATCATCTGTACACGTACATTTCCTAGGTGTTCTGTAGATTACCGAGTTTGTTTTCAAAATGTCATTCAGGTTCAGACTGCTGCAATAAACAGAAGACTAAAATGATGCAATGTTCATCAGAATATTTTTAGTTTCAGAATTAGTATATTATATTTTTAATTCGTTTAAGTTACACAGATTTCAATTCGTTCATAA